GAGGAAGCTTGGCAGGTACTCTTTCTGATCAGACACACTGGTGACTATCTATCAGCTTATGTATATGCCCATTATCACAACCAATTACTCATTTACACCTTGTTTTACTTTTTTTGTGTACCTCTCCTTCGGATTTGCTGTGACGCTTGTTGAAAGCCGTTTGCATTATGTTTTTCAATCCTTATTTTGCACCCCTGGTAGCTGAGTTATTTTCCAGCCCTGATTTAATATGCGCTGCCTTTCTAATGCAATCTCACATATTATCCGCGTAAATGCATGCGATCCTTATTTGCCCAAAGTTGTTTTGATGTCATAATTTGATAGCGTGTGGTAGAAGCAAGTAGATAAGTCTGTCTACTGTCTGTCTACTTGTATAAGTCTATCTTCCTTGTTTATCATTCTATTCTTTCTTTGTAAGACAAGATACACACATAGTTACATATGGACAATTATTATAAGTCATTCCATACTTTCTACCATAAGTCTGTATGTATTTCTTATATCTTGTGATATCATGATCTCTAGTTTACAGGCTGCTCCAAAACCTTCGCATACCGCCGAAAACGCAGTGAAAAAGTCACCATCTACCAAAGGTGGTTGAGAGCATGTTTATATCTTTCTGTTTCTTAATTATGAAAATATAGTTGCGCCGTGGATAGCTGCGGCAGCAGTTCCACCAAAAGAAAAGTCGCTGAAAGAAATTCAAGAGGAAGAGGAGAGGCAACTTCGCGCTGAGCAAGCTGAACAAGCTCGTTTACGCAAAGAAGTCTGTTCGCTTAAAACTATAACTCTATCTTGTTTACAGTAATCTGTTAGCTATTTTTAGCATCAAGAATCTGTAAACCTCCAATCATCGGGAACGTGGTCGAGTGCTTCCCAACGTCTTCAGTGGAACCAACCGCCTCAGCAGCCTGTTGTAACGAAAGCTACAACGAAACCAGCATGGGGTGGTGCTGGTGTGGAGCCACCAAAGGTGATTGCGATTTTACATTCGCATTTGAAGATGGGAATGCACTTTTTGTACCAAAAGCGCAGTTCTTCTTTTGTCTTGAACTTCTGTTCTTTGCAGACCACGTCGTCACCATTTTGGGACGGTCCATCACTACAGGCTGCTAATAAAACTCA